ACAAGGGGTGCACCGGTTGCGCTAAACATAAAGCTTGCAGGCTTGCAGTTGCAACCCCTTGACTGCCATGAGATGTTTGGACTCGTCCTCAGCAGTCATAGGGTTAAATAAACCTGTGCTGAGTTTCTGTTGGAGGGTTATGGAATGAACGGAGCTGCCATGGCACAACATGCTGGGACTTGTAGTACATCAGATGCTAGAGAGTCAATAGCTGAGACATCTGCAGGTAATATTATGGTCACCCTCTGTAATTCTTTCTATGATCAAACATTCATGTCCTGGCCTTGTCCAGAAGCAGAACAATGTTCACTGTGGATGGCCAGCTACTGCCCCCCTCTATAAGGCCTCACCCCATATACACAACACACTATATCTATTATAGATAGAGCTCACTATTGACAAACACACACCCCTTTCCCCGTACTGTATCCACAATACCACCCCAATCGCGCCCCCAGCCTCCGGGGTGACCCCCTCATCACACTCCGCTACACCCGCTTACACTCACCAGACCACAGGCTGTAGCTTCACACACCCGGAACTGGCGTCACTTCCGCCCTGTCGCCCCTATAGACCGTGCGCACGCTCTAGCTGGCGAGCACGTCCATAGGCTAGGATTGGCTGTCACTCCAGAATGGGCGGGAGCGGCGGCCATGTTGGTACACCCGCGGCTCTTGGGAGTAATGTTAGGCAACGTGTTTTGACAGCTGAGTCATGTTTTTTGCAAGTGACTTCCTTAGGGGACTGCTGTGCTCTGGTTGTTATTGTTACTAATAATAATAATATTATTAACCCCTTAAGGACAAAGGTCTTTTTTTCATTTTTTGTATACATGTTATAATCCACATTTTAGGCCTGACAATTACTTTAAAACCCCCAAACATTATATATTTTCTGAAAGCCAAGACCCTATAGAATAAAATGGTGGCAGTTGCAAATTTGTATGCTGTATGACATTAACGCGACTTATTATCAAACCCAAAAATTTAGTGACAGATGCACTTAAGTTAGATTTAGTGACCCAAAACACTTTATAAAACCATTTTATTTTATAAAATATAAAAGATGAGGTTGCATTTTTAAAAACCGCGGCAGAACTCAGTACCCTAAAAAGTCCACACGCGATGCTTTAAAAGCCACCACTGGTCACCGGTTTAGCGATACCTGTAAGTATTGGCCCTAGAATTATTGCTCACTCTGGCGTGTGCGGCGATACCTAACATGTGTAGCGCAATCGTTGTTTTTGTACGTAGGCGCACCCGACGCGTGTTTACGTGACGACGCGCTTGCTCGTGGGGGCCTTGAAAACATTTTTAAAAATCATTTTTACATTTAATATTATTTTTTAAACTGTTTTTTTTAACTTTAATTGCTATCACATAGGGTGCTTACAAGCCCCCCATGTGATAGCATATTGACAGTGACAGGTACTCTTTAAGGTAAAACTGGGGGGGTTCAAAAGACCCCCAGTGTCACCTTTACACGCTACATAAGCTATGGAAGTGCTTCAGGTGCCCAGGAATGACAGCCCAGGAACCGGAAGTGATGCAAGAAGCGTCGCTCCCGGTCCCATAGAACGGGGAGGAGATCGGTGAACAGACGTTCGCCTCTCTACTCCCCAGCTTCCTGCCAACACATGAGATGCCGGTCCCAGGCTCGTAGGAGGGGCAACAGAGCCCGGGAAACACAGCAGGGAGGGGCGGTCATTATACTGGATCATAGAAGCGAGTCGCCAGAATCGTTTCTACTGTAAAGTCAGGTTGGAGTCTGTTTAACCCCTTGAGGATTCATGATGGGATTATCCCGTCATGGGTCATGAAGGGGTAAGTAACAAGAGCACAGCAGTCCCCTAAAGAAGTCAATTATTATTTTTTTAATAACAATATTTGTATTATTATGTTTTACTATTATTAATATTGTCAATGATTACAAAATAATGATACTAATCTCTAGTATTGCCCTAAAGAAGTGTTTTCTCTTTTCTGCAGGGAAAAGTCTAAAGGTGGCCATACACCTGCCGATTATCGTACGATAGTTGTGGGTGATCCCGCGATCGCACTGCAGTCATCGGCAAGCCCGCCCCTCAGCGGGACGGGCTTGCGACAATCGCAAGTACGATCTGCCTGTCCAAGATGGGCGGATCGTACGAAATTTGAATGACCTTACAACCATCGCACAACGAAAGTCGTGCAATGGTTGTAAGGTGTATGGGCAGCTTTAAGCTTGCGATCACCTAACGACACTTTTCGTCCGATGATCGAACCGTCGTGCGATTTTCGTACGGCTGCCCCATCCTGCCCCGATTATCGCAAGGTTGGATGAACGGCAATTAGAAGAAAGCACCTGGATGAATTACGGTAATCGACCGCACGCATTTTCGTCCGCGCATGTGCAGTGTAGATCGTACGAATTTTGACGTACGGAAACGCCACCAACCTTGCGATAAATCGTACGATCGACCAAAGTTTTCTAGCCTGCTGGTTAGTCAAAAGTCGATGGATTGTGCAGTATTTGTGGTTGTACACCACCCATCAACCTTACGAGTATCGGACGAAAACGCGAACGCATGCAAATTTCGTCCGATATTCGTAAGGTGTATGGGAACCTTAAAGGAGAACTATGGGGTTAAGGCTTTTCCCAATAGTTCTCCTTAGTGCTCACCCGTCACCCTAGGCTCAGTAGCTGTAGCTCGCGGTATACTGAGACGCCGCAGCTGAAGCGGATCCCGACAATTATGTCTGGATCCACCCAGCTGCGTGAGTGACAGCTGGCTCTGCCTATCTAGAGGCAGAGCCAGCTGTACCCACCCCCTCCGCCGTCCGTTACGCCAGTCAGCGCTGGCGGATCGGAGCGGGGAATCCAGCCCCTCCCCTGTCACGGCAGAGAGCCGTGACAGGATCGAGAGGTGAGCGAACGCCGGTATGTGTTCGCTCACCTCCCGATCTACTGAGCCGACCTGTGACAGTCTCATTGTCACAGGTCGGCTAGAACTATGAGGTGAGTGAAAAGCACTCACCTCATAGTTCTCCTTTAAGCTGCCCATACACTGTAATATTTTCTTTCTTCAACCTGCGGGCTGAACGAAGAAAATATAAGATTCCTCCATCGCCGCTTATGGGCATTGATCGAGGATTCTCCTGCTGTCTTCGTTGTATGTTGACGGAGGCCGTTGTTTGAAGATTTTCTGACCTGCTTCTTCAAATCAGCTGATCGAAGGATGCCGGGCCAAACGGGTGCCGACAGCGGCACTCACTGTGCGCATTTTGGCCGGTTCATCAAGAACTGGCTGAAATTTGCATAGTCTATGGCCAGCTGTAGGGCTAAGCTCCACCAATTGCTACCCCCCTGTCCAATGAGAGCGCCTTTATTGGCCACTGAGCCATTCTTATTGGACACTAGAATGGCAGTATACCAGGCTTAGCCATGAAGTCAGAGAAGACAAAAGGAAAACTATTTTAGAGGGGCACAAAATATGTGTTTCTAGGTAATAAATCTAACACTTCTACTGTCTGTTCTTGGGCAGCAGTTTTACTAGAATGGAGGACGGGTTTACCTTATGATACAAAGCAGCATGAGCAGGATCTTCTTAGTCCTCTTACATGGGTCTGGCCTATACCCCCAACGTGTTTTATCACCCACTCGGCAATTCCATAATGAATAAACCATAAATGTGGTGTATGACATTACACATATTTAATCTTTAATTAGAATTATACAGTAGTACAAAATCTGCCATATACATTTCTATACAAAACAGAGCGCAGCGAGCGGTGTCCCTTGATGGGCGGGTTAGCGGTACATATAGCAATAGATGGTTCACAATGACAGGACAGATCCAACAGAATCACAGGTACCGCCACTGTAACACAAAGAACACCCCTCATCTGCTCATTGCTCCGGGCTTCATTCATCAGAGCGTCCTAAAGCTGACCAAATACGTTACAATCTCTGTACAAGTCTCCCTCAGCAACAGCAATGTAATAGGACAGGGTCGGCAACCTTTTTTACATTCAGTGTCAATTTACAAGTTTGTACACTCCAAATAAAGTTTAAAAAAATGATAATTAAATAGTACTTTGACTTGTTCCAATGCAAATTGGATAGAAGGGAAAATCCTCCGCACACCTTGCAGCAATCCAGGCCTATGTAGACAATGGTGATTGTAGTGATGAACACAGATGGCACCGTGCAGACACAATGTAGGAAGAGGAATCACCAGCACTCAGTAGAATAATCCAACATGTCCATTATCACAAGAGCTCCTGTGATTATGTGACGTATATGTCCAATAAATGGGCATGTTGGATTATTCTACTGAGTGCTGGTGATTCCTCTTCCTACATTGTTCCAATGCTAGGCGCTGCGGCTCACCGCTGTCAGTCAGCAGACAAAAGCCACGTGATAAAACGCTGCAGACATGTGACTATTCTGGGTGCCACTGAAAATGGCTTTGCATGCGCACCGTTGCACATGTGCCTCAGGTTGCTGTCCCCTGTACAACCCGTTCAGTTTCTATCCAGGCAGGTACTTGCAATACACTGTTGTTGGTAAATCTAAAGAAGACCATACAATCTGATTGTATTTTGTAAAGCCGGCTTTAGAGAAGGACGCCATGTGCTGCCTGAGTTCAACTGACACTTTTGTAGGGTAGGTTACAAAAACAGGCAGCTTCTATCTGACAGGTCCTCTTTCACGCAGAATAAAGCTCTGTATTCTTATATTTACCAGAATATTTTTCAGTGCATTATTTCATCATCGTCTCTTAATATGCCAATGGCACCCTGAGGGCCATGTCATGTCCTTGTGACACCCCAGTGGCAGGATCGCTTTGGAGGACACCACAAGGAGTGAAAACACACGCCAAGAGAGCAACGACCTGCTCCTCCAGCCGACGAATTAGGTCCTGCGGGGCTTTAGCCAGCAAGGTGAGCAACGACCAGCTACTGGAACTGGCCAAGTGAGCAAAACATACAAAGCAGGTATGTAAACTCCCTGTCGCTGGCGAATTCTCGTTATGACAGGATTCCCAGTGGGACATGGCCCTAAGGCTCCTGAGCCTTCAAAGGAGAAGTCCAGGGAAACTTAGATAATATTCCCTTTTAGTCCACACACACATTCCTTCAAAAGGTTATAAAATGATGTATTGATAAAATATGGATGCCTACTGACCTGTCACAAATCAGACTTGCAGTGTGAGCACCTGCTTTTTAAGTGGTTGGCTGGAAAGGTGGGTGAGAATACTTAGGTGAGCTATTTGAAGGTAGAGAGAGCTTAGAAGCGCGTCACTGATGTGGTGATATACACAAGCAGAGTACACGTGGGTGGAGCAGTGGCACAGAGTCTTCAGAACGGCAGGCTTTGATTAGTGTTGTCACCGTTCTTGTAGTGAGTTGTAGAAGGAGGTATTGCAATGAGGATGTGCCCAACACCTATGCATTACTCTACCAATGTTTTGTCAGGTAAAAGCGTGCCCAGATATGTGTTTTCACTGTGTACTTACCTGTTTGAGTCTGAGTATTCCTTCACTGGCTCAGGTGACACAGGCTGCCAAAATACG